TCCCAAACGTCAATTATCAATAACAAGACTACTGGATCAGCGTTATACGAGCTTCTTGTATTTTTGTCTATGCATGTTTAGTTTTTGTAGTAAAATTTTAGTACGTACCTAAATATTTAGATGTATTATTTAAAAAATAAACAATTGTCAATTAGTTCAAGTTATATAATTTGTTTTCTATGCGCAGTACCTTCATATGCATAAAATTAATTAGGAGGTACATTATTGACCCTAGATTTCCATTCAAGAATTTGATATATTTAGTGCATCGCGCCTACGCAAAAATAATCAATATAGGCAAGTTTTACATTTCTGAAAACTACTGAGAGATGCAATGAGATCAAAATATTTTATATTTTATTTTGTGTTCTCCTTTTTCGGGCCCCATACGCACAGAGCATACGCGTCGCCGGCGCATGCGCGACCTCGGAAATTGACGCCGCCGCTATTGGAATATTGCGCTGCTTCTGCTTGCATTTTGTAATAATTTTGTTGCGTCCCTGCCCGATACTTCTTCATCAAATCAAGCCGATGTTTATTTGATTAAAATGAGAACACTGTTGCCTATTTTTTTTCCAGTCATTTTTTAAGGCGTAACATCTAGAAAATTTGATATTCTAAGGAACTGTCACATTTGTCTACCACATTACCAACTTGTCAGTAATGGCACTGGCGGTTTTTTTTAGTTTCCTTGTACTACCAACTTTGATAAAAATTAATAATTATAATCCTATTTTTTATTCATAATAAAGATAGATAAATGAATTACAATCATGTATTAATAAAATTATTTTTGCCAATATGAATTATACTGTTTAAAAAAAAATGTTTATTTTTGTAAATATGGCAACAGTGTTAATTTCCAGAGGAGCTTCCAGTTAAAATATAATTAAATCTGGTTGAATGAATTTGTAATTACTTATTAAGTTATAAATAGATTTTAATTTTTAAATAGGATACTCTTAGAGCATATTACCAGAAGAGGGACCAATTCCTATTTAAGAAAATGTTGATGTAATAGGCACATAATTATCAAAATTTTCAATTTCTATTTGTCTATTTGCTTTAAACATACAAGATTGAAAAATTAAATTTGTTTTCTGCTTATTCTACCTATTAATGTATGTACATTGATAGTACCTAGTTCAAAAAACTTTTAGATCAAATGAGCCTTAGTTAAAATTTAATATTCCATTATAATATTAAAAATTCAATTTTACTTTTGTTCTTGCACCTTTTAAACTTTCAAATTAATTACCTACTAAAAATAGAAATGTATGCAAATTATGAGTGTTTGTTTTGTAAACTTGAACAGTTTATTAAGAATAAAGTACACATTCATAGTTATCTAAAATATAATTAAGAAGCAGGAGTTCATCTGGATAAATTAAAATTTTATTACTCAATTTTATGGTGTATTATAAAATAAAAGACTTGATCTGGAAAAGGAGTCAAGATATAATTGATAAATAAATTAGAAAAAACTTTTTTCTGAAAATGTTATCTATAATTTACTACAAAATAAACTTCTGAAAATTCTCGAATGATTTAAATAAAAATGACTTGGTGTTTTATTTATTCTTCCTATGCATGTCCTATTTATATACATGAAAATATATCTTATTTGTGTATATTTTGATATCTAGTTGTGTTATGTATAGATAAATATTTTATAATTAAATTCGTGATGAATTAATGCATTTATCCTCTCTACTCATATTATAAAATATTTAATTGTTTAAAATAATTATCTCTTATATAATGGTTTTGTTTAAAACATAAGTATATAATATTTATTTGCAAATTACATTTTTTTATTCCATTATCTATTGCCAAATAAAATATGATAATTAAATAGTTTGTTTACACTCATTATGTTCAGAATTTATTTAAAAATAACAGCTAATTTGTATAAAAACAAAAAAAGTATTACAATAATAGTACATCTGTTTCTTTAATTTGGAATCTTATGTACTATAACATTGTCCAAATTTTATTAAATGGTATTTTTGTTTCATAGTTTGTTTTTCCAATAAACGTACTTAAGTTATAATTGAGTCGTCTACTTGCAAAACTGGCCATATCCATTTTCGAAGATATTGAGATATTAGCAAAAATATCCATATTCCTAAATTTAAAAGAAATATTCATTTTTGAATATGTAGATATGTTACATTGTATTAGACATAATTAGGGACAATTTAAAAAATCCTGTTCCAACAATCAATATGATATAAAGACTTGAAGTTTGTATCAAGACACATTACAAATATAAAAATGGATTTTTCTAATTTTATCAATAAAGTACAGAAAATGTGGTTCTAATAATGCCTACATATTTTGTATTGTAAAATAAAGTTACAAAAACTTGAACATCTGGAAAAATTGAGAGCAAACACCATTTTGGAAGAAAAACTAAAAATGTTAATTTTAATAAAATTAAACGAATTGGGTTCTGGTATTTAAATATTGCGTTGTGGATTTCTTTGGGAACATCACAAATATCTTCTTCTGACAAATCTGAGATCATTTCATTGTTAGTTAATTCAATAATTTGGATGTAGCCAGTTTTGCAATGCATCCCAATATTTGGGCGCATATTTCAGTCGAATGGAGTCGCTTATAATATAATCCAAATATTCCATGTAATAAAGTGTATTTCATAGTCTACTATCGCACTTTAAAATTAGTTTTGAAAAATTTTGGATGTAGTTAGTGAATTTAAATCTTTTTGACATTTTATTTATTTGTGCTTCTAATTTCAGGAAACTGTAGTGACCTGGATTCCTGCAATTATATATCAAAGGGTGGTGGTGGGGATGCCACTCATTGTACTTTAGAGAAGACATTCATCATCGAAGAAGAGAAAAATGAGTCTATTACTAGTGTTGGTAGGACCATGAGTGTTTGTTTTGAATCTTCAAATGTACTCACCAATGTGGTGAGTACTTCTCCAGAGACTTCATTAGAAGACAATGTAGCCAATCAACCAATTACTAGTGTTGCCAGTCAATCTGCAGTTACTACAAATATTGTTCAGCCACTTGCCTCTAATAATATTCATAATACTGAAAAACCAGAACAGATTATTTCGTCAACAAAGAGCATTGCAAAGCTTGTTGTAGCTAATGCATCAGCAAGCACCAGTTCAGTTCTTCAGAAGGTTGTTAATCCTCCTTTAATAACGGTTTTGAATCCTTCAGGACCATTGACGGTGGTGAAAACACTATGTGTTACTTCTGGAGTATCCAGTGCTCCTCAATTTACGTTGGTCAATTCTGCCCCTTTGAATGTAACAAATGCTGTTGGAAAATCACCCACTATCACCCTTCTCAATGCACCAGTGACAGTAGTCAAAGCAATTACTACTCCACAAAATGTCATTGTGGAGAAGAACCTTCCCGACATGATGGTAAATGCAGCTGTTCCAAGCAATACATCTCCTGTTTCAACAATTATCGAAAATAGAGCTCATAATGTTTTTGTTAAGAATACTTGTCCGGATTCTACAATAGTAGATGTACCACAGAGCCACAAATTGTTGACAGCTAATAATTTTCCGCAGACAAATGTAAGTTTTCTTTGTATATATAACTTTGATTTTCTCTTAAAATATATGTTTAATTTGAATTGTAGATTTTGGCAAATCCACAAAGCAAGACCTTAAATGGACAAAGGAATAAATTGAAGATTGTTAGTAATGTTGTAGTGCCAGGAACCTCTCAAACAAACAATATTCTAGTGAACAAATCAAATCAGCGCTATATTCCAAGACCAAAAGTTTTAGGTCCAAATAGTGCAACTACAAAATATATAAACAAAAATAATCCAAGTAATTTTGTTAAACCTGGTATGAATCCACAGATGAAAATGATTCCAGATAAATCTCCGACTAGAATGGTATATCCTACACATAAAGGTCAAATTAAAACACTACAACCTGTCAATAATTTTGTGCAGAAGCAACATCAACATGGTATAAAAACGATAACTCCTCAAAACAAGGCTGTTCCTGGCCACGTAACCAGAACAGGATCTGGCTTAAGAACTATTCCTCCTCAGAAAGCACACAAAATGCCAAATAAACCCAATTACATAGGAAAGCATGCAGTACAAGCTCAAAAAATGAGACAAGCCCATGGAAAAGTTAAAGGTCTCAAAATTCCTTATAATGTTCATGTGCCACCAATGCCTGACAAACATTTGAACGAGCTAACTTTTAATCAGGCATTAACAGCACAAATTATTGAAACTTTGAGCAACTCCAGTACACCTACGCTGAATAACAGATACGACGTTATGCCCTCAAGGTACGATAATGCATTTACTTGTCCAGAAATAAAACCATCCAGGTAAGTTTCTTTATTATTAAATTACAGTTTGATATGTTAATAATTTGCAAATTTTATTTTTAGTGAACCCTGCAAACCAGTTGAGGATACAAATAAATCTGGTTTGGATGCATTATCTTTGATATGCCAAGCAGTATTATTGGATCACAATTACAATGCGACTTTACCTCCAGATTCGCCCACAAGACCTTCGCCTCCCCTTAACGTGCCCACTCAAGTTAATGGGCTTTCTACACCTATATATTCTCCAGGTTCGTCAAAACGTAAGTACATTAACAAAAATATGTCGATAGGCTTCGTACTTGAATAAAAAATTGGTTTAATGAAATATTCTTTTGTGTAGGACGACCAATGCCTTCATCCAGTACGATCACATCCCCACCAATTATTTCTAACATGTCTTTAGGGATAACTAGTAATGCATTAATGACAGTTAGAGATGATGATGCTGCATCCGATATTTCTGATGGTTCTGACCGTAAACATGACACTGAGGGAGAAGAAACTGATACTGCTCCGGAGGCGGAGGCAGTTAGTAATGAAAATTTCGATGGTTATGGTGATTATGTAACAAGGTGCATTTGGTAAGAAATACATAAAATATCCCAAACGTTTTTTGGATGCTAAAAAATATATTTTCAGCGGTTATCTTCACGACGATGGTTACATGGTAGAATGCGACAAGTGCAAAGTTTGGCAACATGTTCAATGTGTTGTTAAAAATAAACAGGTTCCTGATGAATATTTGTGTGAGGAATGCGATACTACTAAGCACATTGACAGGCAGAAAGCTCGGGCTATGCAACAGCAATGGCTGAGGGAAAGACAGTTAATTGATCCGAAATTGAGAAAGGATCCCAAAGTTAAAGAAATGTTTAAGCCGAAGGAGGTTATAAGTGACTCTGATTCGTCTGATGGGGAACATGGTAAGCACATCATATTTGTGTTTAATAAATTCGTTTATAGAAATGTTAAAACTATCCGAGTTCTAACATTTTTCTTTTTATAATTTTTAGTTCCAAACAATTTTGTCCCCAAACCCAGGGTGCTGGCTAATAAAAGAAAATCTGAAAATCATCCTAAACCGTCTTTAGCCAGACAAAGGCGAGAAAATGTTAAAGAAGTTGTACAAAAAAGGCAGAAAAGGAAGGAAAGGAAAATAATCAGAAAAAAGGTAGGGTAACTTCAAAAATATTGACCACTATATACTTGTATTTATAATTGTCTCACAAAAATTAAAACTATTAAAACATTGGCATTCTTGAGGATTAAAGTCAAATGAAAAACTGTTACACATAACTTTTAGAAATTTAACTAAAATGGAAAGTTATAATTTGAATTTTATGTTTGTAGTTTTTTGTATTTAGGAATTATAAAATGTTTACTTCAGATTCGGCTAGATTAGAGCAACAAAAGGTAAGACTAAAATAATGTTGGGAGATGTATTATCATTTTGTCTTACTACATAATATATGTTACTCCAAATATATTTTAGTGCTGGCTGCCAAATAGATGAAGTTAAAGAGTGGATGTAATCTAGTTTTTAAAATTCACAACATTTCTGAAGGAAAAAATAACTTTAGAAATCAAATTCTGTGACCTATGAAAATCAGAAACATTTGTTTTTTTTTGCAAAAGACCAAGATTTATTTTCAATTCTCGTACATTATTAAAAATAGTAATAGAACAAATATCTACAGTTGACACTATAATAAGTTTTGTCTAGAAGATATCACATTATAATAATTGGAGCGAGACTCTTTCAAAATAGGGATTTATTACAAAAAATATAAAAACGTCACGCTAACCAAATCAATAATTTAAAAAACGAAAACAACTTATTCGTTAATAATTTTTAACTGGTTCTAATTATGAATGTCTGTTCTAAATAGTAAAATACATCCAGTGCAGTTATTATATAAATAAAAATATGTCTAGATTTTATAAAATATCTAATAAATATGTTATTAAATCATTTAAAGTATTTTTTAATGAATACAGTTGATTCAATTATTTACAAAAGTTGATATTACATATTAATTATTAGTAACGCTGATATAATTTTTCCAATCTAACTAGTGTCAGGCTCTCTAACTGAAATTCTACAATGAAGGAAAAAATAATGAAAAATGTCGAAAATATATGACAAAAAAAAACTCCCTAACAAATAGTTTAAAATAAAAAACTGGCTAATTGGTTCTTACCACAGCCATTCAACTAATTAAAAAAATAAAGAAATTTAAACTTTAAAATGTTCTGTTTCTATTTGATATGTGGCAATGTTGTTTCTTTGGGATTTAATCCGTTCCAGTATTGCACTCGGAAAATTTTGTCCATCCTTTTGTTTCAGTTCAGAGAAAAAAGGGTTTCAGAATAATTCTGACCCCTATTCATGAACGTTGTACTTTTATAAAAAAAAAAAAAACCAAACGATGATTTTTTCAGTACATTGTAAAAATTTTTTTTTTATAAAAAACGACAATGAAAGTATTACCCTCTTGGTAAAATAACAAAACTTAGGGTGGAGAAACCTTGATTTTTTTTGTAAATCTGAAAAGTATTTATTTTGAATGGGAGAATTTCCCACCTTTTTTTCTTAAACGTCTTTGTACAATGTCATTGCACAAATTTAAAGCTCTCAATATTCTCGAGGCACATACTATCGCGACGTACAATAACAAAACTTATGGTGGAGAAACCTTGAATTTTTTGTAAATCTTCGAAAAGTATTTATTTTAAAAGAATTTAAAACACATTTCCGCGCCATTCTGTATTAAATTTATAAAAATTTGCTGCTTTTTGTTTTAATAAATATCTAGTAGTTTTTAAAATGACAGGATTTCCCACTTTTTTTCTTAAACGTCTTTGTAGAGTGTTGTCTTATCCTTGCACAAATTTGAAGCTCTCAATATTCTCGAGACACATAATATCGCGACGTATTCCTAGTGGCGCGCATATAATACAATTTTATATTAGAAAATCATTAAAAAAAAATTGCTTTCGCAAGAGGACTGGTTTGCCCGTAAAGTAATTTTTTGTAAAAAAAAAAACGGTTTTTTTTTCTTTATTCTCAATTCTCAATGGAAGTTGGAGACATCGGTGAACATAAATTTTATTGTAACATCCTTTAAATATTTGTATATATTATGTAAATCAGCCAAATATATATCTATCATAACATTTTTAGACAAGGGTACCAATAAAGAATCAAAGTGACGATGAGAACCAGCAGGATACTTGGGCGTCCCATTTGCCTCAGCTAAGACAGTGGATAGAAAAATATGAAGAGGCAGTTACGAATCATTATTCACCGGAATTGAGAGCTCGAATATCCAGCATTAGAGTAAACGGAGCTCATTCCGATTCCAACATCCAGTTCGATGCGACTGTACACAAATGCCGAGTGCACACTCAACCCGTGACCGAAATTAAATATTTAGTCGCTACAGTGAACCTTCCTGCGAATACGCCGGTTGTAGAACTTAGGGGCAAGTACATGCTGTCGACACAACATCGCAATTCGGGAGGGTCTCTCACCACTCGACAGCACTCACAGAGGCCCGGTCCCTTCTTGTTTTTCTACCGGTTGCAAAAGGACAACACTGAGGTCTGTGTGGATACAAGGACGTATGGCAACAGCGCTCGGTTTATTAGACGATCTTGTAAGCCGAACGCCGAATTGAGACATTGCATCGAAAAAGGTGTCTTACATATATATGTGGTGTCGACTGCTTCAGTCGACAAGAATTGTGAATTGACAATCAAACATGAATCTCACGATTTGGCCGCCATTGGAACCACGAGTATCGCATGTGCTTGTGGCAACCACAACGAGTGTACAGTCAACAAGTCGTCCATTAAGAAAAATGGAGAAACACTAGAAGTGTAAGTATTATTTTGAATTATTTGTATAGTCTTGATTTTTTCCCTTAATTTTTGTGCTTCCTCTTGTTATAACGGTTTATTTCCCCAATACAGACCTGGACGGAAGAGGAGGCGACGACGAATTGTTACTTCCGCCCCTCCAGAACCAGATCCGCCAAAACCTGTAAAAGAACCACCCCCACTACCTTTAATTTCTCCGCCATTACCACCACCTTCTCCAGTGAAACTTGAAGTTGAAAAACTCGAAATAAAAAAAGAGGAGGAAGAAAAAGTAGCAGAGGAGATAAAAGAAACAATTCCCGAACCGCCGCCTCTTGAAATAAAAAAGGAAGAACCGAAACTTGAAGAAGTGAAGGTTGAAATAGAAGTTGAGGAACCCGTACTCGTCAAAACTGAAGTTGAAGAAGATTCATCTTCAGAGGAAAACAAAGATGCCAAATCTGAGAAGTCCCAACCGGATGAGGTTATGAAGAGTCCTCCGCCGACACCTGTATCGACCAGGAGGGCTTCACACAAGTCCGACAAAGAAGAAGATAAGTCTTCTCCTGTAAAAAAAGAAGACAAGAAGGAGAAATCCAAAAAGTTGAGCCGTGAGGAGAGAAAGCTCGAGGCTATATTGAGGGCTATTGAACAGGTAATATTAAACCTCAAAAAAAAAAAATACATATATTTTCTAATTAATAATGTTTTTAATGTAGATGGAAAAGGCGGAATCCAGAAAACAAGAACATCAAGCAAAACAAGCGCACAGGCGAGAATCGGAGCCAAATCCAGCTCAAAAAGAAGAGGAGAAACAAGAACCCAAGCTGAAAAGACGGAGAAGGAAGGGTAGAGCTAGAACGGTCAGTCAGTCCGCGGCTAGAAGGAACAGATTGAATTCAACTGATTCGTATATGACAACATCTGGTGAAGAAAATCTACTTTCGCCTAATGATAACCAACTACCTACTAAACCCTCATCTAAAGACACCGACCCGAATGACAACAGGGCGGTGGGCCTCCTGTTGGCTCTATCTAACGGAGAAAACGACGGTAAAGAACAAAAATCTCCTGCAAGGGACATCGATTCTAATTCCAATTCTGCGCATTCTTCGCCCGAAACGCCTTTATCTTCGGCATGTCTGCTGGTACAGGCGGCTGTGGAACCTCTCGAACAAGGTTTTAAGTTTCCCAAGACCAAGAAGGGATTAATGAATGAGTGGTAAGTGGAAATTTAAATTCGTCGAGGAGCTTCAAAAGATTAATTCATTTTCTTACTAGGTTGAACAAAGTACCGGAACCTGTCCAGACAGCCAGCGCTATTTCTCCGACGTCTATCGGTTCCCACGGGAGTAACAGCGTCGATATGGATACGTCTGGAATGTTCGCCTCGAAGAATTTGGCACAAGTGATGTCTTACTGCGACGCTAACATTCAGCCGCGTGGCAGTGCCAAGAAGAGGTGGCTGCGCCAAGCGATCAGTGAGGATCACTCTTGTGACAGTCCATCGAGTCGACCAGGTAGGAATTTGTTGTTAAAAATACTTTTTAAGGCGAGAAGCATTGCTAAAGTTAATAATAATAAAACGTGTTTATTTAACAAATGTTTGTCCTGAAAAGGTGAAGATTAGCTAGGTAGCTATTCTTTAACTCTTAATCTTTTCAGTTTACAGATAGATAAAAAATAAAAAATACAGTATTGAATTAAACTTAACCTATTAGATTATGAAAAAACAAAAAAAAACTGAAAATTAAAAAATAATATAAGATTTGAAATTGTCTCGTGTAATATATCTTTTATTCTTTTGCAGAAAGTATGAATTGATAATGATAAATTAACAGTTTAACAGAGTTAAAGTTCGCAGGATCCTAGTACTCCTTATATTGTTTGCAATTGAATCGGTGAGTTCCAAAACCGTACAAGTCCAAAATTTTACATTTTAAAGTAAGATAGCCATTTTGTTAAAAATTTGTCTCTTCATTGATTGAGCTTAAAAACTATACTAAATACCTAGCCGTTAACGAAGCACAGTTGATTGCATCCGTGAAATCAGGAGAAAAACCGTACATGTCCGTGACTCGTATGGTTTTTCATCTCGACAACAAAATAGTGGTCACTTGCTATAGTCAGTTGGAACACTACAAATGCTGAAAATGATGATTTGATGACTAAGATAACAGTTATGATATTGTATTTTTCCTTTTTGAATAAATATTAAATAAATCAAAAAATGTTCACCTGTTTCTTTTTAGTATATAAAGTTGAGTTCAAAAACCGTACAAACAAGTCCATACTTCATTTTTTGTATCTGCCATTGGTAGTCCATTTTCTTTTGTGAAAAACTAACCATTAAAAATACATTGCAAACCACAAGATCTAAAACTTTTCTATGCATGAAAATGGTCTATGTGAAGTAGTTTCAACATTAACAGGTTTTTATTGTTTTTCTCGGAAGGCTGATTTTGGACATGTACGGTTTTCGAACTCACTGATTCAATTATTGTCTCATTCGTAAAAGTAAGTTTTTAATATTCAGTTGACCGATTTTAAATCGAGTTGTTTTGTTTCAACAGAGGTTAAGCAATATTTGTGTGGTCTCTAATGAATAACTATTCCTGATCGAGTGACCAAACAATAATCTCACGTTGAATTAAGTTTAAACCAGCTGCATCTGTTTTTTGAAACTTCTCGAGAACAATTAAGAAATGTCATCAATGTCAAAAATAGTAATAAGCTTCATAGAGTATAGCATAGAATTTATTTATGGGCAGCGGCCTGGCTTAGCAGTTTCACTTATTGTGTATCAATGTCTGCAGTAAAGCCAGTTAGTAGTTGAATGAAAGTTGGCTAACAAATTTTTCGCGTAGTTGCATATCACAACGGACAGGCGTTATATCAATGAGTAAGAGGTATAGAGTGGAGTGTGCCATCGTTCGGGGAGATGTAAAGCTGTTGGTCCAGAGTCCACGGATGTTGGGCTCATTAAAGATCCCTACTTCTGTTTGGAATACCAGAGGATTTGGCTAAATTTCTGGTATTTGGAGGTAGCTTGCTCACCAACCAGTGTCGGTTTGTAAACATCGTGGTTAGAAATAATAATCGTAATCGTAAATAATAATAAATGAATTTAAAATATTGAAGTGGTACCAGGCGAGACGCCTGGCAGTGTGTCGATCCGAAGAAAGACAATAGCAAAGCTGTTCCCGATCGAAACTGACAACATTTTTGAAACCATTGTTTCTTATTTTTCAAATAAAAGATTTAAACGTCCAACAATTTATTAAACTCCTCAGAACCCATACCAATATATGAAAATAAAAAATATAAAACAATGTATACGTGACCGGATGCAAAATTGTAAAGATTTTAAAGAAAAATATTTTGAGTTTTAAAATTTACATTTTCTACAAACTTTAGCAGTGTTCCTCGTAGTAGCGTTTAAAATAATAATTTGAATATTTTGATATAATTCTAACAGTTCTGATATTTGCTTTATTTGAATCTTTTTACTCCATGTATTTTCAGATAAAAACGAACAAACACTATTTATTTTTAGTTATGGTGCAATTCGTTCCTTCTAAACATTTCAAATCCATTGTTTAGAGACAATACCGGCAAATAGGATGAATAGGCATCTCACCAATAAGAATTTTCCTTCAGCCTTATCGACCATATTCGGAAGTTGAGTCAAATTCGACACCCAGTGCGATATTTCGATAATTATTAGTTTTGTCTTTTTTTTTTAATTACCTACTGGTAATATTGATTTATTAAGAAAATATCATTATATTTGCGTTATTTCGCATAGTACTATTTTGGGGTGTAAAAAGTATTTAAGTTAATGTTAAGTTGCATATATTTTTTTTTATAGAATTAAAACTGAATATTACAGAAATTTATTTTATTTATTAATGGACATTGCCCCCATTACAATTTACAAATAATAATAATAATAAACGTCTTTATTTCACAAAAGTAAAGTACATAGGGCGAGATTTAGCTTGGCTATTCTTACACCTAGTTACATATACTTTGAACTAATTTCAGCATGTTGAAAATTAATCTTAATTAAAACAAACTTGCCTTGCCGTCACGGCTACTGTCATCCTTAGATTTCCAATTTAGTCGTGGCTCAAATCCTCAAGTCTTCAGACCATTAACCCAGTACAATATCTTTCTACGAGCTTGACATCTCTACAAAAATATACACAATTATACAGTTTTTGATACTCTTAAAAACGCACTGACAAGTATCATGTGCTCAAGACAATTAAATGTATCTGAATTTTTATAATTTTCTTAAAAAATCTTCAGTTTTTTATAAAATCCTTCATTTAATTAGGCATTTATTGTTTATTATTCACGCTCATAAGCAACCAATAGAATAATAATTATAAATTGTTATTATCTAGGAGGATATCAAATAGAAGAGGGAGATTTACCCAACTTGAAGCCACTTCAAATCCTACACTTCCTTGAGAAAATAGGATTGGAAGGGTCGCTATAGGCATTGAGACATTTCCTTAGTGCAGTGGCGACAGAAGGGGGCACAATAGATCTTTTAGGTCGCAGTGTATTAACACCCCATTCTCAACATAACATATGTTGCTAAATATTATCAATTAAAAATAATATATGAAACTTGTTTTTTATGTTTTTCACCATCTTGCCAATAAATGCATAAAACCATCCTAACATCAACAGAATCTGTTTTCGAGAACCCAGGATTTGTTTTCGACACGGATGATTCAAAACGCCAAGAAAATAGAAATATAAACAAATAAGAATGGCAAAAAGTTTACAAAGTTCTTTGTAAATGATAAAGTTTCCTACAGACTATTTAAAAAATATCACTGCTATAGCTAGTAGGTATAATGAATTCCTTTGGCACCATAATTTAAGACAACAGTATCTATTTTTAATGTCCCATAACACACATGACGTATAAGATCATTCCTAGAATGGCTAGATTTTGAGAACTCTCTTCAACACTTCCGTTTTATTCACCTGAAGACCCAATCATTTAAAGCCCACATCCTCGGTACATGGTACTGGCGATTTTACACAATATGTAAATAAAAAAGGCTCCTATACTGCTTTACTCAATATATTTGTGATGTCATTAGATTTCAGAAATAATTTTACCTCCGTTTCCAAGATGTTTAAACCTTTGTTTTGCCAGTTTTAACGGTGATCAATCGATAAGAGGATGCTTCTTTAATACCTCATCAATAGTGCCGTTTTTGTCACTCCACGTGTTTCAAAAATATGCTATAAAAACTTTGCTATCTCCATAGGTTTTTTTATGTTATGCAGTTTCTCATTCCCAATTATAAATCCAGCTCTTCCATTTTGAATTCATTTATAGCTGAATTCCGTGTTATGCAGTTTCTCATTCCCAATTATAAATCCAACTCTTCCATTTTGAATTCACTTATGTCTAAAGCTGGTTATAACCTTCCGAAAAATATTATTTTAGCCAGAAAACAATGCAATCTTTTTATCTGGCTGAAGAGGCAATTTTCACTTTCCGCCAGTCATCTTTTGTTCCCATATCCATTATAATTTGTTGACTACATTGAGAGTTCATTTTTGTACATTCTTTTTAGATTCTCCACCAATTAGTGACATGGTAGCGCCTCCCAAAAAGAGAAGATTGCCCAGAGAATCAATATCGAATGATAATTCGCCCCCTTCGACACCAACGGGCCCTGTTCCCGTTTTAATAAACGTAAGTTTTTGATTCGTTTTGACACAAATAATATTAGAATTCAACTGGCACATTTAATGATTTTTAGAACATGGATCAAGGATCTAAAAACCTCGAAGGTTCCGTCGAAATTGTTTACACCGGAACAGAAGGTGACAGTCCGAATCAAACGTTGGAATCGGATGCCGTGTTGAAGGAGCGAGCCGCCAAGATGAAACAAGAATTCAGTAAACCGTTATTTTCGTCTACCGTTGAACAACATTCGCGAGCTGATTTGGGCTCGTCGCTTTCTTGCCTTGATCCGAGATTGTCACGAGAAAACCGTTTTTTAGCCAATACGGACCTGGTCGGTACAGTAGAAAAGACGTTAAGTATTTTAGGACTAGAAAATACCGAAACACGTAAGCCAGAACCAACAACTCCCAAACGAAAAGTGAAGGTAACTATAGTTTACCAACAGTAATTGATAAAAATTTATGTATTCATTTTTTTTTTAGCTCTCAATTACAGAATACAGACAACGGAAAAAGTTGAATGTCGAGGAAAAATCTGAGGAACATGAGACTGAACCAGTCAGCACGGAAGAAAACAATTCCTCGGAGTCGTTTAAAATGGCTACAAGGCATAGGTCGGCCAGCGCGAGTAGCAGTACTTCTTTGACATCCAGTGATGATGACGTTTGTACTCCTGAAATTGTTGTAAAAGGTTAGTGACAATATAAATATAAGCTAAATCTTACGATGACCCATACTGTAAAGGCCCACCCCCAGTACCCCATTTTATCGTTATTTTACTCTCTGAAATGTTATTATTTATCTCACAAGTTTATTTTATTTTAGTTTATACTTACTGTATTTGGCCTTTTTCCTCTAGTAGTAAAAATTATCGTCTAATTAATTAATTATATGATAATTTATATACTCACGTTGTGATAATGTTAATTAAGGTAAACCAGGATTCGATGCAAAGTTTGATGCAAATTGATAAATAAAACCAGACAAATTTATTTTTCATACTTTAAATGTGATGCAATAATTAGCAAAGTATATTACAATTGGTACTATTTACTGAGATCCCACTTGAGACCAACGGAGTTAACGAACATCGTCAATTCGCTAGTTGGTTAACTACTGTGTTAATGTTTATGCTCTTATTTAGGTTGTTGACCAACGGAGTTAACGAACAGCGCCAATTCACCAGTTGGTTAACTACTGTGTTGATGTTGATTTGATTCTAGATATACTCAGGTTGCACCTTCTTAGGTAAATATTTCGACGAGTATAGAGATGATGACCAACGGAAGTAACGAACACGCCAACTCGTCAGTTGGTTATCTTACTATGTTGATTTCACATATACTTTGTTTCAAACCTTGTAGAATGGGTGGCTTAGCATATAGGTATCCCTCCTTGAGCTAACAAACAGTGTTAACAGTTGGTTAATTTACTGTTAAATTTTACCATCTTGGTTTGTAAATGTTGATTATTATAATTTCTATTGAAATAACTTAATACAACCCTGTATATTTCTTAATATTGATTTTTATCATTTCTATTGAATTAACTTAAATTCAGCTATCGAAAACAGATGACTAACCTGTCTTTCGGGGTGAACGACTGAAGGCCCTATGGTTTATTGAAAATACAGACATTAGATTATGTACTAATTTCATCTAGCGTTCTGACGGCGTCGATTTAGGTACGTCGTAGCGTTAAGCGTGGCCTTGCGTCGAGGTGCCTAGCGTCGTGGTACTGCATTAGGACATATACGGTACTGCATTGGGACAGATATACGGTAGAAATATTTAGGTGGTGCGGGACGCGACGAAGGGTGTTGACAAGGGTATTATGACGGAAATATTTAGGGGCGGCAAGCGTCGAGAAGTAGAGCGATGGGACGTTGGACGTCGGAATGAATGTAAGGTAGGAAATACTAAAGTGATGTTAGAAGTGATAGCGTAGAAAGGTAGGGAAGTTAGTAGGATGGCAGGACGTTGGGCGTCGAGACGTTGACACCTTCGGGGGTAGGAGATATTGTAGGATAGACGTCGTTTAGGAAGAGCGTTTTTTTAGAAAGGTACATACTATATTATTGGATACAAATAAAAAGTGATTGCTTGAATGTAAAATAATAAAAAATTAATGCATCCGAGCTAATTTGGGTCCGGTTTCTTATAATCGTCTTAATGGCTTTTTGTGACGTCAGTTTCTTAGTTCCCAGTACGGAAACGAATTTTGGGTTGAAAAGGGACTGGCAGATTTATTACTTGCTTTGAAAATTTTGTGTATTGAAAACAACGTTAATATTCAAACGCACTTAAGATAAGTGCGTTAAGTGTTTCTTGGGCTGGTTCCCAGACACTTACACGAAAATTGGATCTCTTACGGACATGGTTATAGATATTATTTATTAGGTGTCGTAGATAGGATTTAATTATGTGGGAGATTATTCGTTAAATGAAGGATTTTGAATTTAATAAGAATGCAATATTATATTTAATAAATGGAATTAATAAATTATTAAGGTACCTGTGCGCGGTAGGTTACAATACCTATTGCATTACTACAACGCCCCACTTTTCTCCTTGTTTTCCGACCACTATAAGTCGGAAACAAAAAAATAAATAAAATGGTATGTTCGTCTTTGCGTGCGTATGTATGTGCGCCGACATGGTACCGCCAGAATGAACGTTACAATCGACTTGTGATTTTATTTAATAATTTCTTCCAGCTGAGAACCCTATTGAGTTTCAGAATTTTGGGCTCAACTTTAGCGCTTTAAATATCTATGTTTTTATAATGACATGTTTTTTTTATGGAGCTTATTTTATGCATTGCTGCATGGGTGGGTACTGATTTCACTAGATATCTATGCATGTCGACTATGAAACTAGACATTTTTTCAATATTGCTGTTATTCTTAAACGTCAAATAAATTATTTACAGCCCATTTTTCAATCGTAATTTGATAACTGTTGAAAGTTAAATTGTAATTAAAAAATAGTTTTTAAACTAATTCAATTTACAATAATTTTAGCATTTTTTAAAAGATTGGTATTCAATTTTTGTAATCTTTATGATCTATATTAGACTAAATAGAAACATTTAACCATAAAAATTATAATTTTTTCAAGTTATTTAAAAAATAAAAACGGCACTATTACTAAATTTCCTCTTTAAAAGAAAAACCTAATCTGAGGACCAGAACCATTCCTTGTTATATCAAAGAGCTACTGCCAAATGAATTATCTCAAACTGAACAGTGAGTGTAACTGGAGCGATTCTTGCCCTAGTGAGACGATATAAAAATATAGATTCTAAAAATCTGGTTCCTTCAGCTGGAAACGGAAAGAAGTCATTTGATCTGATCCTGATGACCTTTAACTTTCTAGGTCCTTCATCACTAAACTAAGCATTTATGTCATACTTAATTCCAGTAATCCATAATCGCAAAAATGTATATTATTGTTTTAAAATTCTACTGCTACTTAAAAAGATGAGGTTATAAACTGATAAAATTAGTTCGTTAAAATATACATTTATGTTTATTAACTTAATTCAAAGTTAGCTTTAAATATTTAATGAACAATTGAAAAATATCTAATTTGACATAAGTTCTAGTTAATATCTAATTGACATTAAAAATGAACGATTAAAAAATCGACTGTATAGAAGTTTTTTAAATGTTTTTTGAAGGATTTTATTTTAGCGGCTATTTATTTTAACTAAATTGATAAAATCTTATACAAATAACGATTTTTAAAGGAGTTTTATGGAACTCCTGAATGGAATGATATTAGGATCAAAAAGGTAAAGGGACCAAATATTATTTTTACTTGGGCAGACTTAAGGGGTAAAGGATCCAACTATTTTTACATCAAGGTATAAATAAGCCAAATATAACATGAGCCGACGTAACGGGTAAAGGGACCAAATATTTTAACTTGAGCAATGGTAAAGGATCCATATATTTGTATATGGGCAGGCTGGCTCAACTATTTATACATAAATTGTTTGAAGTTCAAACAATATCTGAACCCTAATCAAAAGGTGACATGAAATGGTTTTTAAAAACCAGGTTTATAAATTTGAATAATTTCTACATTGTTTAGTTTAAGTAACGTTAAAGATTCAAAAAGCTGAAAACAAGTTTCAGTATTTGATTCAAAATCAAATCTTTTATTCTACAAGTTTGCCTGTGGAATCTCAGTCCAGATAAGATGGGAACCAGCAATTTAGCATCTCTCGAATTTCCAGTTGATTGAAAGGACTTGGACATTAAAAAAAAACGGTTTCCTGATGATGACGCACCTTGAGTTCAGTGTCCTTTTTATTACACATTTGACTTCTAGTATTCTAATTCAAAAAATAATACACTGCACCATGTTTTTGTTCGAAGTCTACTCTCAAAGCAAAAAGTTACTGCAGATTAGTAAAAAAACACAAAACGCTCGCCTTGTTAAATTCATCGGACAACCATTTGGACTCGCCTAATACGAATTGCTCCAATTTAACTTGCAAACAAGAAAAATCATATTGACGTTTAATTATAAATAATTTTAATGTATTTTCTTGTTCGCTAGAGGATTAACAGATAATTTCATTGGATTTAAATTGTTTCCTCCATCAGCTTCAGCGGAAATTTTAAGATGAGTTGAGATTTAAAAGTGATTAATAGATTTGTTCCAATAAAAGTTTATTACTTTACTAAGTTTACGCAAAGTCAATTTAGAAAAATGAATTGTGTTCCGAATTGATAATGAATCGTTTTTAAATTTATAGGATTTTACAAGAATTTTAAATTCTTAACCCACTTTAACGTGGTATTTAACTTTTTATTTTGTTTTCGTTATTAAAGAATATAATGGAATAAGAAATCGATTTTTTGGATTTGGCAATGTTTACAAATTGATGATAATGGAGAATTCTTAAAGAAATGGTTAGAATAAGACATATAACAGTAAAAATTACCTAGGGATGGTAGGGCCTCAATGTTACATTTTTGAGTAAGAAACAATATAAGTCCGAATGCTTTTATTTTGTGATTTTATTGGGTAAACAAAAACAAATTTATCAATTAAATCGGTCCAATAGTAGTAAAGTCGATTCTAGAACTATTCTTGCATGTATTCTAAAGTCTAAGTAGTTCTAAATCACATTTTGAACTTCTGAAACTTTCTGTTGGAACAAACCTAATGGAAAATATCGCCAATTAAGAAAATCCTTTTTTTTTTTTTTTTTAGCTCCTGTATTCAATTCGGAACCAACCGAGCTCGAACGTCAGCGGGAGACTTCTAGTTTGAGGCTGAAAAAGGCGTTCGGACTATCCATCGACAAGGAGCCACCCGCAGGTGAGTGACTTGACTTGAAACTCTTTGGATTAGTTGTTTCAATACCGTTGATGTGTAGAAATTTTCAGATTGGATGAAAGTAGAGCTTTCGATTAAAAATAATTTTACGTTTATTTCACGTTTATGTGATCTTTAATTTTTAATACAGCTTTGAACATTAAAGCCATACTTAATTTGGAACTGGAATCGCCGAAGTTGAAGCCTGTGCCGTTGCTGAGTCCCACATTTCCCATACCCGGTAACGTGGATTTGGCGACCAAGGAGTCGACGGAGGTGGCGCCCGCCCCCAACGCAGCTTCGCCGGAGCCTCCTATACTAGCCGAGAGCCCGCCCCCCATCGATAAGCCGCCTGCCATGGAAACATCTACGGAGGAAATGGAAACGGAGGACATATCCGTCACCGACGATCCGGATCCGGTTGTCGAGGAGAAAGACGCTACTGACGCGGACGAGCCCCAAAATATGTTTTACACTCCCGATGAGGAAGACGCAGTGGTGCCGCCTGCGGAAAAAGAGGAGACTAGCGTTAGTTTCGAAGAGGCGGAAAGCATTAGTTACGTCCCTCCTTTTAACAATCCAGTGTATCCGAACAGTAGCTTTACCAACTTCTCTTCCACGATAGGTGAGCAATTCAATTCTACTAACTTTTATTTAGATATAAAAGGTTAAATCTGATCGTTCCGGAATAAAAAAATACGAAAGAGAATTTTAGTCATGATCAAACTTTTTTGAAAGAAAAAGGATGAATGAAGGGTATAAAAAAAGACCATATATCATTTTTTATAATAAACGAGAAATATTAGCAATTTTTAATTTAAAACGTTATTAACAATGGGAAATAAAAGTGATATTAATTTTATAAATACAAAAACATATTTGTCATCCATGTCACCTTCTCACCACTCAACTAAAAATTTAGTTGAAATACAATGATATATACATAAACAATTAGGTAATCCAAAGCATGTGAATTTAAATGGTAAAACAGCAAACAACGTTTTACTGAGGTTATTTATTAGTAATTCCTGTGTATTATTGTTTTAAAATTATTACTTCCACAGTATTACATTCATGTAAAAATATGCAACAAATTTATGTAAGTATTGCCGATTTTTGGAATAAAGACTTAAAATAAATTGAATTAAAATTCAAATGGATTCAATTTGTAAAGAAAGTTATACATATATAAAGTCGAATCAAGGATTCAAGGATGGAGAACTCGTAATGCTTAATAACTGCACAGAATCTCTTAACAGGCACAAACAAGACAATAAGTGTCTCATAAAAGGACTCTTAGAAGCGAAATAGCAACCAAACAAAACGTGAGCTAAAATAAGGACAACCACATTAACTGGGGGAATAAGGATGAACTTCATACCAAAACAAAGAACTACTGTTGATGCGAATTTTAAATCTAAGTAGTGGTATACATATGAACTTATAAACTGGATTTATCTAAGGAACTATATATTCAATAAAGGTAAGGTTAGTGAACTAACTGATATAATGTATACAAAAACTGCAACTGAAATATTTTCGATCAATACAAATCAATAAAAAAAAAGCTGCAAACAATTTTAAAGAAAAAAATATCAAAATCTCTAATGAAACTACTGGTCTACATTGCAGATATAAAGGATTTATAACCAAAGAAATAGAATTTCTATTTGAACTTGGAACCCAAATTGAAAAATAAGAATAAAACCTAAAACGTATCATTAATAAGAAACAAAATCCAATATATTAGTATAAACAGGAAAAAACTATGAAGAAAAAATAGTACACAAAGTTATTGTGATATATAAAAAACGAACATTAGGTACATGTGAATCTGATAAAATTATTTTTAAAATGACAAATTGTTAATACAGGGTGGTGAAAATTTAATTAACGGAGATTTTGTTGACCGTTATAGATACGAAGTTGTTTAAATGCGAAAAAAGATGTGTGTTTTAAGATTAATTTTATGTTTTTTTTTTTTTTTTTTTTTTAATGAAAATATCAGAAATTGGTGATTTTTGTTTTTATTGAATTAAAACCTTTGTTTTTAAAGATAGAAAAAAACTTTACAAACCTTTTTTTGTTGAAGATCTAATACTGTTTAACATAGCGAAGCCAAAGTTTTAAAACGTTTCATATTTAAAAGAACCTTCCTCAATTTTTTTTTTTTTAATTACCGACCTCCATTTTTCTCTCCAATTATATACCACAAGAATGTTTTTAATGCAATTTGATAACGAACTGTATACATACTTTAGGAATTTTTGTAAGTAAGGTGGTCTTGTTTGTTTATTTCATTAAGAATCAGACATTCTAACGACCTGTGGGCAATGGCAACCCTGTGAGCCTGTTGTCTTTGACAGGGTCAATGTTACATATAGAGTTATATAGATTTCTTAAAGCGGGTCATTTTGCGAATGGTTATATTATATTAATCAGAATCGGTTTGGCAAAAAAAGTTTTAAAACCAGTTTTCAACCTTTGAATATAGTAAATAAATAATTACCTACATTTTACTTGTTTATTTTGAAAAACATGAATGATCAATCTATATAACTATCTACATCATTGACCCTGTCAAATCACCAAGCCCACAAGGTTGTCACCGACTAACAGCCATTTTGTTTGGAATGTCTAATTCGCGAATTTTTAAATACTATATTTCCAAGAGAAGTAGGCTAGGAATAAATAGATACAAAGAATGGTCTACGTTAGCTATACTCAACCTTTTTTTCTTTCGGGACACATCAATCTATTATGCTACACGGGCCACAATATTTTTGGGTGATAACAAGAGTTGCCACCTTTTTCAAATGTAAATAAAGGACAATGGGTGACGATAGGGATCCCGTATAAAACATTTTCTAAAAAAAGTCCTCATGTTGTTTTAGTTATTTTAATAAGCTTTGAAAAGTCGCAAGGACAATTTGTTTCAAAAAAGGACTGTAGATCAACCATTTAAAATTAGTTGGGATCTCTAATACATAAAATACAAAACAATAAAAATGTTAGTATGAGCATGATATTTATCGCTTAATGTTAATGTTTTCGCGCATTTCGCTCAACATTTTAAAAACAAAAGCCATAGTTTTAAAAAGCACCTTCCTAATAATAGTGTTTGGGGCCACACAAAAAAGATTGGAGGGCCACAGATTGAGTAAGGCTGGTCTACGTGGACTCCAAATATGAATCCAATGGATTATTTGTTGTGGACATTTATCCAGGTATCATTTATCTCAATGTATAATTATTATGACTGAATTTTGTGCAGTATTATTAGTATTATAACTAAGTACATAATTCTTCTTCAGTGACATTATTAAATTTATTATTTGTAAGACCTACATAGTCATGAACTCTGGGTCTAGTTATGCCGTTTTGTATTTCTTTATTAATAAATTGATGGAACCTTAAATATTGCAGAATTGAGGCAGATATCTTATTTACTTCCAAAATGGTTGGATACCAGCAAAAAAAATTACATGATTTATAAAATATCTTGAATATGGGATATTTTAAGCAATTCTTACAAAAATAATTTACAATGAATGATTTTACATTATAATTTCTACTTGCATAGCTATAATTCAATAAAGTAATTGCAATTAAATTTCCAATACACGTCAAAAACTCATGAAAGTAGACGTTGCTACAAAATTTGAGTATCTCAAGAAACATTTTATAAAAAAAAAGTAATGTTTAATTTGAATTCCATCTTTTGACACTAAATAATTAATTCATTAAACCTATATACGGAGTGGCCCAAAAGTCTGGAAACGGCCAATTATCTCGTAAATTGCTAGTCCTAATTGTACAAAATTTGGGGTACATCTATTTTGGGATAGGGAGATTCCAGATTTGATATTTGCAATGTTGCCAGATTTTCCGTTTCTCTTATATTATTAGTCACTTTGGTTTTTCAAATTGATCACCCTGTATATTAAGTCATTATTGGAATCTCCTATTTGAGTTCAACCATATGCAACCCTTATGATTTTATGTAGTCTGGAAGGTCTTAAATAAATAAAACAATCATGGAGAAATGTGGTAAATGCAACATTTGGTGAAGAAAAGCCAGAGGCATGAAACTACATGTGGAAGTTATTGTCAAAGCTACTAAGTCTAATTAAAAAGACCAAATTGGACGACATACTCTAAATAACGCAGTCCCACAATAGATCTGAAAATTTTAAAAAACGACATTCTAGAACTATCATCTGTTATTTCTTTTAATGAACAACCACAATTAAAATGAATCCAATAAAAGTCGTTCAAGGTCGCACAAATAAAACAATTCCAACAAATTGGTGGAAAATGGTTACATGACATTTAACAAACAAGCATTTTTTTCTATCTTTCAAAATACGAGTGTTAATTAAAACAATGTGCTAATTTCAATTTTGCCCAAACAACTCTCAAACTGGACTTTATATTTCAGTTTTGAAAGAACCAATAAATTCTTAAAAATGCCCATCTTTTTCCCCAGTTATTCAACTTTGAAGGTTAGCGAAATATTCACCACCCTGTAAAACTAAAAAATTTGTTGTACCTATTGAAACGTTTAAAAGAGTAAAAGATTAATTTTCCCTGCTATGGAAAGGGTTTTTTTCTCTTACTATTCAAAATACTGGATTCATATAATTTTATGCAAGAAGTGTGAATGATATGTGTTAGTTTTAACAAAATATGTTTTGTTGTAGATGACGAAGCGCGGTACGAAGGACGAAACCCTTCGCCACCACCAAACTTGGACGAATTTGCCCAATCGTGAAAATTTTGTTATAAAAATTGTATTGTGCAATTTTCAAAGTAATTATTTGTACAAAGTATTGAGTATAAGTGAGCACAGTGTACATACGTTGTTTAATTTTTTGGAGATTTATTTTTTCTGTGCATATTGCACTAATTTCTACAAGTTGAGTCTAAGTTATTTTATTTTCCGGTGATTGATTGTAAAGTTTATTGTTGATTTAATTTTTTTACTATTGCCTTTGTAAAGTTTTTCGTGTGACATTTTGTAGATATAGCAAAAAAGAGGTATATGTACACTTTGTAAATAAATATTTTTAATGGATAATGGAAATTAGAAAATCGTTTATTCATTGCGTAATTGTCTGCTACATTGATTTACGAGACGTGCTCATAGAAATCTCATTGTATATATATATATAAAAAAACAGTTAAATACTCTACTAGATAAAAAGTAAATCAATGATGCAAGAATTAGTAAAAGTACAAAAATTGTTTGAGGTGATCTCGTTTTTTAAAACTAGGAGTTTTTTTATTATTTTTATAGATTTAAAATACTGATTGGGTTATTTAGGTAATTAGTGATGTTAATGTAGCTGTTCATAATCTATGTAAGTTTCTTCTTAAAAAGTTTTATATTTGATAATTGTTGCCACTTTCTGTTTAGAGAAAATAATTCTATTAGTATAAAGCAGAAAAACTATTCGACCTGAGGCCTCTCTAAGTTGGTACCTTCTTTCTTTTTTTTTTTTATTTATTTACAAAAAAAATTGGGGCAAGTTATTTTGGATTATTTATGTTGGCAAATGGCAAGAAAATATATTTAACCACTTGTTTACTAATCGAACGAGAATGTTCAATCAATAGTTATAGTTGAGTTTAAATAGTTATTTATTATTAGAACGTGTAAGTTAAAAAAAGAGGGGCTCATTTTGTTTTATTACATAATGAAAGGAAATAGTATTTTATATTTTTTATATTTTTTTTTCTGTTAGTAATAGCAGTTTTGTAGATTAATTGTTTTTATTGAGCATTTTCAGATGTTTAGTACGCTAAGACTTTTCGTCAACATTTTTAGTCATAAATACATTTCTTAAATTAAAAACATTGTTTTTGCATAACAATTTTCTCAAGTTTCAAAAATTTGCTGTCAGTTAAAAATACAGAATGGTACGGTATTCAATGGTCAACGTTTTCTCTCGAAATACTCCACAAATTAATAAATGCGTTTTCTACTATCCATAAATTGTGAAAGGACGTTGTGGAAAGTCTTTAAATTTTAAGAATTTTGGCTGTGATTATTCTCATACAATATTTTGTACATTTTTCATCGATATAGGAATTTTACTATGTCACAATCATAGGAAAAGATACGAGGGAAATTCCAAATAAACAAGATTTTTTTTTTTTCGTTATATTTCACTGCTCAAAACGGTTTTAAACTATTGATTTTAACGCTTTCATCGTTTTTTGTTTTGTAACTTTCTCTTTAAGAGCTTTTTCGTACAAGGAAAGAAAGGTTGCATTGGGTAATTTCTGGTGAATAAAGAGGTTTATGATTTTGTTCAAAATTGAACACTTCAGTCAAGAGCAGGTACACATAAAATAATTATGCTGTTTTGAAACCCCGTAATTATTAAAATTAATTATTCGTCTTAGAATTTTTTATTTACATATTGGATTAATAACGTTTTTGATCCGAAACTATAGGGATCGCATTTAAAAATAAGAAACTGGTGAATTCCAACAAATGTATGCATGTACACTACGTTATCTTATTAAAATGAATTTCACTTCTGACGTTTTCCTATGTCTGTTACCTAGTGAATCGCCCTGTACATCATCATTCATTAGTTTTATAGGCGTTGTCAGATGTATTTTTTTATAGTTTTTAAGAAAATTTATTGATTTTTATATTTTTTAAAATGTAAGTTCATAAAATCCTTGAAAATTCTGTTCTCAAATTACTGGAATTTTCAAGGAAATTTTAACCGTTCTTACATTCGGACTTTAAAAGGAGCCGTTTATGTATTAAAAATCACTCTGGATCTGTGATTTAAAGGCTTTTCTGTAGACGTATTGTAATGCGGACTTGCTGAACTTTTTCTATGAAGTCGAACATACGAGGTATGATCAAATAATGCGATGTATGAACGAATTAAAACTTTATTGTGACCTCTTTAATCTTTTATACAGTTTCTCCTTCATGATTAGTTTTTATTTGAAAGATCTAAAATTCACATGTTGACCATAGACAAAATGCAATTTTTTTATAATTAATTCGATTGTGTTTTTAAAAGAAAAATCAGTCATTTTACAGATAAATTATCATGTCATGATCGATTTAGTTGATTCGACCTCGTAGATTGAATTTGAAACGGTAAAAATTCGTAATTTCACCAAAAATTAAATATTTTTTAAATTTTTATATATTTTTTTCACTAAATTAGGTCTAGAATATTATTCATTTTAAAAGTGTAACGATGTTTTTAAAATTATCAAATAACCAAAGAAAAAGTAGTTAGGTTCCGTTAAATATTGAATCATTCTGTATAATTTTGACGAGGATAATAATAATTGTTTGAAATCTGCTTTATAATTATAGATAAGTTGCTGGTATTTTACAATTTTAAATTTTGAGTTCAATCTACACTATTTAAGAATTAATGACTGCTGACACATCACGTTTTGTTTTGAGGTCTCTATGTATATAGTTGAATCTTTAATGTGTACATAAATATATTTATATATTATATAGATTTGTAAATTTCGTACTACAACCAGTGTAAGTTATGTTAATAAAATTTCGATTATTTATTTTAAACAACCGTCTCCAGTGCAAAGAATGTGACTCTGACGCATTGAAGTCGGTATGAACGCTGAAATTTGCAAATTACTCGTTTCGGCGTCGTTGTACAAAATTTTCGTAATAAAAATTTCAAAATGCAAACTAAAAAATTGAAACTTTTTATCAGTATTAAAGTAACTCTATTTGACGTTGAAATTAGTAATTTGCAAATCGTCTAAATTGTCAATGAAACATCAACGAGTTTATGCATATAAAACTATTTTAATATATAACATGGCTGTATATATAAACATTTAATTAATTTGATGTTGGTACAGAACGTACAATTATTAAATAAATCCTCTAAAATTTAATGTGACGTTTTATTTTTCCTGCACATTCTATACATTCTTCTAATTACATAACACGGAAAAATGCTTTATCAAATATCTCTATTTTTATCAAATTTTAATAATTTCTGATTACAAACGACTCATATTATAGCCCAGGATCCGTAAGTAAGGTCGACCTTCACCCATCTGTTTAATGGATAAAAGTTATTTTTTATTAAATAAAATATGTTTTTAAATATACCACAAATGGGTTGCCTAAGAAAATACGATCACGGCCATTTTTTACTTTTCTCTCTGTGTACAGATAAGGAAAGTATAGAAATCATGATAAAAGTTGCTTATCATGTCATTCTCTATTATTTTGTCTCTATACATGAGTTTTCTAAAATGGACCTAATTTGAGATATTTGATGAAAAGTGCAAATTTTGAATTTGAAGATAACTCAAAAACGGATGAAGAGAAAAACACTAAATTTTGAACTTAAGCTTTAATCTATCCTGCGATGAGCTGATTAAAGTTTGGGCACAGTCAAAGCATTTGGGGAATACTTTTTTGTACTTTAAGAAAATAGTCGAACGAATTTTCTTAGGCAACCCATTTGCGGCATATTTAAAAACATTTTATTTAATAAAAAGAAAGTTTCATCCATTAAACAGATGGGTGAAGGCCGACTTTATTTCTGAGCTTAGACTATTAGTAAAATAATATCTCTGGAGACTGAAGTGGGTTTTTCTCATAATCTGTTAGTTTAACATCAAGTTAGTAGGGAGAGGAGATGATATAAAGTAGAACCAGATAGATCAGCTGTACTCAACCTTTTTTCTTTCGTGTCACATAAATTGTTAGATATGCTACACGGGCCACAATATTTTTGGGTGATAACTAGAGTTGCCACCTTTTTGAAATGTAAATAAAGGACAATGGGTGACGATAGCGATCCGCTTTAAATATTTGTTAGCGGTGTTCCTCTGTTTCCCACCACACATTCTTGAAGTCCATACAAATGCGTGTCAGAATGGACGAGCGGGAGAAGGCAGACCAGCGCAGTGAGCAGTACGCGAATAGACAGTGGCAATACCACAGCAACATTGTAACTAAGAATACTTGATCTTGAAATAAACCATTGAAAAGCAGTTTAGACATTTTTATTAGGGATGATACATCCCTTATGTTTATATCAGAAGTGGGATCACTACGCGTACCGTGGCTAATAGACTATAATTAGTAATTTAACTAAAAGTTAGTGCTAGTGATAATGGCGGACGAAAATCCTGACCCTCTTGACAGTGCGTCAGTGCGGTCGATCTTAAAGACAATGTGAACGGACATAGTTCAGAGCGTGCTAAATTTCAGTGGCAGGAAACATTAATAAACTTTTTGTAGCAGCCCAAGAGTAATAAATCGCTGATTTAACTCAACATTCCAAGATGGCTACGTAGCCGTTCGCTAAGCCAACGCTCAGTGTTGCAGGAGCAGATTAATCTAACACGCAAGCGCCAACATTTGCGCTTGTGCACTGTTTTCGACTTACCAGCTATGACCCTGACGACAGCGCATATTCCATAAAAGAATGGCTTAAATGACGCTAACCAAAATAAAAGAAGAACTCAGAGTTCGCGATAACTTCATGATCGCTAAATGAGCGGCGCACCTAAAGAATCGCGGTTGTTATTGTTGTGACTGGCTACTTCTTTTTCGAACGTGACAAAACTTTTGTGATGACCTAATTGTTGCATTCGCTAACAAGGAAACACCAGCTACTCGTGAATACAAGGCGGCTACACTTCAAAGCCGTGATTGTAACTCACTGTGTGACTAATGTAGCATCACTAGATTTTATGATGCGTTGCCGGTTGCCGTGGAATTCAGTTCTGAGTTCAGACAATTTAAAATCTTGTTTTGCCATTTACATACAAAATCCTAATTCCGAACGTGAACTCATAAAATTACTCAACGAATTTGATGCGAGCAGTGTTGAGACCTCGAGAATTACGAAAAATGCAGATATCCTTAGAAAACCAAGAAGTCAGTTTAAAGACAAATGAGAAGCCGATCGTTTCAAGCCAAACATCTTAAATGTACCTTCCTTTAAATAAGGCCACCAGTGACACCAACAAAATCCATGTCGGAGAATATAACAGGCGAGTACTTTTAACGCGGTTATTACTAATAAAAAAATCCGACAGTAATAGTGCTTTAATTAAAAAAAAATGGGTCACGTCTAATCCAATTGTTAGTATAAACAAAGAAATCCTAAGAAAACATTTGTGTTAAAAAAAGTGACGCTATCTGAATTCAACACCGATAGCCATGTTATTATTATACTATGAACAAACTCAGCTATGGTAATCGAAATAATTATAAAAAAAGGTGAGTGGAAATCCCACAATATTAAATTAAAAAAATTGTTTTATTAACTTAGGGTGGCAATCCCACCAAATTTTCCTGAATAAATTATGATTATAAAGTAGCACCAGTGTTTGGTGTTGTAGCACTAGTGTTTAGTGTTAGGGTGGCAATCCCACCAAATTTAATTAAAGAAATCATAATATTAAAGTAGCACCAGTGTTTGGTGTTGTAGCACTAGTGTTTAGTGTTAGGGTGGCAATCCCACCAACATTAATTTAAAGAGTAATTAAGCGTTTAGCGTTTAAAAAGAACATTAGTGATAATGTTCATAAGTCGTAACAGTATTTTCTGTATTTTTCGTATTTTGTAATTCCAGATATATGTGGCGCGAGGACGCACCAATTGCAAGATGGCCGTGTTAGCGGTGTTCCTCTGTTTCCCACCACACATTCTTGAAGTCCATACACATGCGTGTCAGAATGGACGAGCGGGAGAAGGCAGATTAGCGCAGTGAGCAGTACGCGAATAGACAGTGGCAATACCACAGCAATATTGTAATTGAGAATACTTGATCGTGAAATAAACCATTGAAAAGCAGTTTAGACATTTTTATTAGGGATGATACATCCCTTATGTTTATATATTTTCTAAAAAAAGGTCTTCATATTGTTTTAGTTTACATAATTTCCGCAGGTTGAGTATAGCTGAAATAGATCCAGAGATCAGAGACAATAAAGATCGGAAACGCAGCAACGATGGCGTCATCTATGCGTCTCGGATGTTAACTAAAGGTACACGTCATTTGTAGACCGACAGTAGACGTAGACAATTTGTAGTTATGATTGTGTTATCCTCCAAGATGAACTAAGTGGAATTTGTGGCAATAATTATATTTTGTAATATTACAATGAGTCGAAGCACGTATTCCATTAGTAACACATGCCACATGAATAAATTTAACATCCCCAATGTCTGTGGCGTTCTTATTTACCAAAGTAAAATCTATAGCGATGTAACACAAACAGTAGCCAACTTCTGTTCCAAAGTAGGTATTTATTTATTGTTTTAGAACAAGAAAATGGCTTCAAGACGTTAGAGAGAAGATTTGATATAGGAAGAAAAAATATCTGAATTCTCATTGAGTTTTCATTCAACATTTTTATAAATGACACTGTTGGCCATTCCTTCGGAAACTAACAAAAATTTTAAAGTTACAAAAAACGATAATTAATTTATAATAGACTGTAAAATGTAGTATTATTTTTAATAAACAATTTAGCGTAATTAACATTCTTTAAATTTATTTACTACAATATGAAAGTGCAATCGATATTTATACAACATATTATCTGGTTTTTAAATTTCCCGCTGCGTTATTTGTTTGATATCCATAAGAACACCACATGGTCGGATGTTAACTGCGTTCGAGCAGGTCGTTGTTAAGCGTGGGCTTCTTATGAGCGTTTCCTATCTTTATGTCCCTAATATACATAAAATAGAATAAGTACACACCAAACAAAAAATTATATATTATACAAAATACTATTTCATAGGATATTTTAATTCGAACCTGGGAATCTTTTAAGGAACACATAGTTTTATTGCTTATCTACATCTCTTACAATTTTCTGGTTCCACTTTACCTTAAAACTATTCTTCTGTTAAATTCGCCGCAAAACTGTCAATTTCAGTGGCGGCTCTTCCTTAAGTTTGCGCAACCCCCAAAAAATTTTGGTAAAATAAAAAAAGAACTACAATTATATTTTTTTAAATTCATACCAAAATTATGTACCTACATTTATATGCGAGGAGCAGTCAATGACTGAAATAATTTCAATTTCAACACCTTTTCCTAAATGTCTTTTTCGCCACGCGACGGCTTTGTCGTTGCGATGTAGTTTTGCAGCTCGAATGCAAACCAATCCGGCTATATTAATACGCGCGTGTTTGTGTTACTACGCGTTGATTTCAAATTCCGTCCCGTAAACTCAGTTAGGTTGCAGGCAGAGTGCAAACTTCTTGTTTATTTCGCCCGCTAATTACTTTATAGTGTGGTGCGTAATCGCTTTTTCGTTTGTTTTGTGTGTAAAAGAGAATTCGGTTGAAAGTTTAATTTCTAACCCATTCTGTGGTCGATCATTAATTGATAAGGCTGAAATAAAGACTTGGTAGGCCTACTCCGAATTTAAAAATAGAACAATCTGTGTCTAGCAAAAAAAGGACTTTTACCAGAACATTTAACCCGGAGCTTTATAATAAACATACATGGTTTTGTTGTGTGTGAAATTAAAAATGCTCTTTATTGTTTCCCTTGTTTGCTATTCGGATAGTCTAAGATCCGAAGTAAGGTCGACCTTCACCCATCCGTTTAATGGATGAAAGTTTCTTTTTAATAAATAAAATATGTTTAAAAATATACTGCAAAAGGGTTGCCTAAGAAAATACGGTCCAGACTATTTATTTTCTTAAAATAAAAAAACACCCTGTAAAGTCTTCCCCAGATGATTCGACTATGCCCAAACTTTAATCAGCTCACCGCAGGATAGATTAAAGCTTAAGTTTAAAATTTGGTGCTTTTCTCCTTATCCGTTTTTGAGTTGTCTTTAAAATTCGAAATTTGCATTTTTCCTCAAATATCTCGAATTAGGTCCATTTTAGGGAAATCATGTATAGGGACAAAATAATAGAGAATGACATCATAAGTAACTTTTATCATGATTTTTATACTTTTCTTATCTGTATACAGAGAGAAAAGCAAAAAATGGCCGTGACCGTATTTTCTTAGGCAACCCATTTGCGGTATATTTAAAAACATTTTATCTAATAAAAAAAAACTTTTATCCATTAAACAGATGGGTGAAGGTCGACCCTACTTACGGATCCTGGACTAGGAGGAGAAGATTCCTGGACAAAAATAGGTTTTACCGACTTGAATCATTCTGGGGACCGCATCAAAAAGTATACATCGTCAGCAAAGCACATTAAAAATGTTTTACAATATTCACTTTTTGGAACTGTAAACGTGGCTGCTCAATTGAATACCGCTTATAGACGAAATATTGAATTGCACAATTAACAAGTGAGACATAATCGATACATTTTAAACATAATAATTGTGTGCGTTTCTGTGGAGCTTTCGAGCTCGCATTAAGAGGACATGATGAGTCTACGTCTTCCTCTAATCCCGGGGTTTTTCGAGGATTAATTGATTTTAGTTAGTTAGTTAGACGGTGCTCTAAAACAGCATCTAGAAAAAGCATCGGTATTTAAAGGTACGTCAAAAACCATTCAAAATGAAATTTTACAATGTTTACTGTATGCCAAGAGGAAATTTCTAAGGAAATAGAAAATGCCGATTATTTATCTATAATTGCTGATGAAACTAGTGACGTATCAAATAAATTCCAAATGGCAATTGTATTTAGATACATTTTAAAAGGCAAGCCAGTTGAACGATTTTGGGATTTTTTAATGCCTTCAGATCATGATGCCAAAGCTTATTCTCACCGAACTTGAGAAGCATGTGAAAGAAGAGAAGCAAACTTTTATTTCACAAACCTATGATGGTGCATCAGTTATGAGCGGGTCTTCTAACGGGGTGCAAGCGATTATTAAAAAAACGTATGAACACGCTGCATACGTGCATTGTTATGTACATCAATTAAATTTGGTAATGTTAAACTCGGCTTCCGCAAACAAAAATGTCCGAATTTTTTTTTGAAAATTTACAAGGAATTTGTACTTTTTTTTCAAGTAGTTCTCAGAGATCTGCAATTCTAGATCAAATCATTAAAAAACGCTTACCACGTTCAGCCCCGACCAGATGGAATTTCAATTCCAGAGTGGTTTGTACCGTATTTGAGTACAAAGACGGCATTCTGGAGACAATGGAAACTCTTCTAAATTAAAGTAGAAACGTAAGTACTACCAACCAAGCATCAGGATATGTCAAAATCCTTAAAAGCAAAAGTTTTGTGTCCTGGTGATATTATTATTTGTCAAGCAAAAGAACGATCCAGCTTCACAGAGGCCACCTAGTCGCAGCCAGTCTGTTCTTTCCAGAAGAATATGGCGAATATAGTACCTGTTTTCCTGAAGAAAAATTTAAAGAGACAATAAAAATTACCCATTTTTCATCGAGCAAAAACTCCGTACAGAATTAACCGTCATTTATGATACAGAAGAACTTGAATCAGTTTCGGGACTGGGACTCCTTGTGCTTTATGACTTTATCTCTCAAAATATCGAGTTAAGTGAAACTTTTAGTGAAACTCTAAAACTTATAAAAATTTTAATTATCATTCCTATGGCTTCTGCCGAATTAGAACGGTGCTTTTCAACCCTTAAACGAATTAAAACATTTTTAAGAAATACCATGTGCCAAGAAAGCTTTTCTGCATTGGCAATGCTGTCTAAAGAAAGGGATCTTATTGAAAGCATACCCGATTTCAATCAGAGAGTTATTGATAAGTTTGCTACTGCTAAAGATCGTCGTATGGATTTTCTCTTTAAATAAATCCAATATTAGATTATTTAATTTACATGTTCATCTTGTATAATATGTATTACCTTATTATTAGTTGGTTACCTATTTTTGTATGTTATTTTTTTTTTTCAATTTTTCAATCCAATTAAACGGAAGAATTACCTAAGGAAACCCTCATTTTAACGAGTTTTTTTACTTGTGATTTTCTACTTTTCATCTAAGATATTTGACCTTGAAATGTGCAAAAATTTTCGTCTGTGGCGCTACTTTTTTATTCTAAGGTTGTGTGCACCCCCCAAAGTAATAAACCACGAGCCGCTACTGGTCAATTTATGTATGAAGTGGGAGAACTGCGAAAAGCCTTTCCAGCTTCTGCCCCTGCTATAGTAAAATAAAAAGACATTAGGCAACAAAATTTAAATTGACTGGATTTATTAGTTAAGGAGCTAGACATAAATTTTTAATTTTAATAATTATTTATCTGCCTCCCTGACATCAGAATGGCAAAACTTTGGAAAATTACTTTGCACGAGACAAAATTACTAACTGGTAAGTGAAATAAAAAGCAAATTGTTTGTATACTTATTTATTTATTGATAGGTATTGACTTATCGGTTGCTGAATAGTTCAGTTCCTTGGTTTCCCAACATTCGTACCAAAAATTCTTTAGCCTATTATTAGAATTACTGCAAAATTCTCGGAAATCTTTTAACAGTTTCAATTGTATGCTGTTATCAACCCCCTGATTCGTTCTCCACCGTTTGCTCAGCATGTGGTTCCACGACCAAAGGAAACCCATCTGAAAATTAAATTTGAGGGGTTTGTTAAATTTTAATACCCACTGGAAATTATCTAGTTGAGCCACACTTACTTTTCTAGAGTTGTCATAATCATCCTTATTTTTGCCAGAAACGTGTCTGGTTATGTAGGCCTCGTGTGGACTGGGCACTATATCTGCGTGCACTGAATATTTTCCCATTTGTCTCACAGACGAATTGATGCGATTTCTTACTTTGGACACTGGTCGGGATATTAAAACGAAAATGGTTCCTGTTGCATGTATATATTGATGTTCCCTGGAGGTACTGGCTTTGTCAGGTGGCTCCACCTGACAGTGTATGAAACCGAATCTTTGAACTATTGATTCTTGGAACAGAAACATTCTATCTGCATACGTGTCTTCTCGAAAATCTAAAAGAATAAAATTTAAATATCCAAATATATTGGTCGAGTATCAATGATTTACTTCTAAACAGTGGAGCGTTTCTTTCTTCAAGGCACATAATATCGAGTGGTACGAAAATGGGACCACGCAATGGGTCAGATTTATTAGAATAAGGTAGAGCTAGTGGATCATGGGGTATTGGGATCATTTGAAGTCCACAGGATTGGGCTTTTCTATGCCAACCCCATAACTGAAATCAAGTACATACATAATTTAACAAAATTAAAAGATTACTGTTGGTTTTATAGGTTTTGTTCCAACAAATAATTCATGACCAATCACGAATTAATCTCTAGTATTGCGCAAGCGTGACCAATATACCATTTTTCGATTGAATTCTTGCCGGTATGCATTTCTGACTATGATAACGCACATAACTTTCGGGAAATCTATTTGTTATACCCTTAAGGATGGTCTCCTACAGAGTCCTTAAATATAAATGATGTACACACTGGAGTATGGGACACTGGAGATGGTTTTAAAATTTAAAGTGCTCTGTTCAATAAATAATTTTTTTCATACAGTCTTTGTACACAAAGCCTTTTCTTATTTCATTTTAATTTCAATATTTATAGTGATCGGAGGGTCTGGCCTAAGAGATAGAAGAGGTACACTATCAATATAAACGACATTTTCAAAATATCTTCAAAACTTGTACGAATGTTATTGTGGAATAAAATGAGCTTACTAGTTCGCAGACGATCGATCCGGACGATGTTAACCATTCTACTACCAATTCGTATGCTTGGTCCGGTTTAAAACCGGTTTGATAGCGAGCGTGACCCCATTCTACACGGTCGCTTTTCCCGGCTACATCAGTCTCTAATCTCATTCTTTTGTATATTGGTCCTAAAAATATAAATATTTAATGTATGGTGTTTCCGTTTAGCAACAACACTGAAAATCGTCATTGATTAGTTAATATTAGATAAAAAAAATATATATATATAAATATGTCGGTACTTTTTCTTTTCTAGAATATTATAATAAATAGCGGAATAAACCGCCAAGGAACTTTATTAACAAAAAGCCATCACTGCTTAGCGACTGCAGATGACTTGGTTCTAATAGGAGGAAAAAAGAACTAAAGAGAGAGAGAAAAGCAGAACTTATGGAGCAGCAAGAAAACTAATGAACTACAAACGTTGGAACTAGGATTCCAAAATTATAGAATAATACATCTAAAAGAAACAAATACATGGAGCAGATATCGATTTAAGGGCAATAGATGTGCTAGAGAGTTAGACCGAATAATAAAATTAAAGCAGGTTTCTCACATAATAAAAAAAATATGCAAAACAGTAAGTAAGACCAACAGTACTGCATGGAAGCGAAACCTGGGTTCTGAATAAAATGCAACAAAGTAATCTAGATATCTGGAATAGAAAATACTAGAAGAATCCATGGAAGAAGAAAAAACAGACGATGGTTGGGAAAGACTTACAAACAAAGACATATGTTGGATAAGGAACGAAATATATGTGTTAGATAAGGAATCAACAATAACAGCCGTAATACGATCGAAGAGGTTACAGTAGTTGGGTTATCTGGGACAGAACAGAGATGTTGGACAATACCGGAAGAGAAGAAGAAAAGGGGAAGGCCGATAATTAAATGGAAGGAAGCAGTGTTGCAAGATAATGCCGAAAACAAAAAAAAGAACTGGAAAAGTCTGGCAAGGGTATAGGCTTGAGGATCTTTTTAAAGCCTATATAAATAAATATACAAATTAATACTTCTAACTTTTAACTATACCGTCTATATCACATTCTGAATATTCTGTATCGATAACATCGCACAAAAAATGAGGTACACCGTGTTCCTGATCCGAAAAACTATTTGGTACTTGTAGAGTGGTCGAAGGTGCTGCCTCCAGGCCCCAATTTAAAGGTAACTTTACTTCCACTTCCATCCATTCGTTTTCGAAAAATTGAATATCTCCGTTAGGTTGGAAGGCGTCCCTATCATCTAGAAAAACACTTATTAATTTTCTTCTCTCCATGAGATTGATAAGTTAAAAAACTACTTGCCTTTATCATTAGAAATAATATAGAATAAATAAAAGCCATATATAAAAGGTCGATTTGGTTCTCCAGACGCATGTCGTATTAATTGATCCTTATATATTGATTTCATAACCTAAAAAAATAATAAAAGAAGCTTGTATATACGTTAATAAAGTATTTACAGGATTTCTTTGACTTTTTGACAATCACCAGGATGTTTGTGAAACAAAAAATCCCGTAATCCTCATAAGAAATTTTGTTATTACTGTTGACCATGCAATCCATACTATACCGGCTGGCTGACCCGTAACTAATAGGAATTTTAAATTTTACAAGCAAGTAAATCATTTATTTAAAAGTAGTGTAAATATGAATATAATTGTGCAATCGTTTTGTCTTTAAATACGATCAGCTTTTGATTTCATCGACAGAAGGTTCATTTCAAGAGGTCTGATTACGTTCATCTGTACCGACTTTAGCCGATAAATAAACAGGAGATTTAAATTTCGAAAGTTTATAGATATTTTTAGATATAATTCCAGCTTCAATTAAAACAAAAGGGCAAAGCAAAAAAAGGGGAAACGCATATTTGCCTGAAAACACGAAAAAATAAATTCGACCAGAGACGAACAAGCAGCAAAGTCGGTCGTGTGAGTAATTTTCCTGTTGTTGAGCTTTTGCCGAGTGTGCATTGCAGTCGCAGTGACTAATAATAGTATATTATGACACTAATGCATAATCGAGCCTTTAAAGCATGAGCAACGAGTTTAAGGCCATGACGCGCAGCGGAGTGGTCTTAACGTTGTAAATGCTTTAAAGACGATTATGCATTGTGACATACGATATTTTTTAGTATGAATGCGTATTTAAAATAGTAATAACTACAATCATTTTAATTGAAAAATGAAAATTAATAATTTCTATGCATTTTATCGAGTTGGTAAGTAAATGTCATTTGACATTTCATTTAATTATTAAACGTCATTGTTGTAAGTATTGAAAATGTCGACCAAAATTGAAGAATTAGCGGCTGAAGCCGAGTAAAATTTAATACCTATGAAATCCAAACATTTATATAACAAGGAATATGAAAAGTTAGTATTAAGGATAGAGCGGAAGTACACTCAAAATATAGATGAGTTGGTAATCGTATATGTTGAAAAATGTTCAGAATTTACAAATCTTCGTCACTGTGGTGTATTCATTCAAAACTGCAAGGGATCAAAATGGAATATAATTATTTAGCATCTTATTACAAGTTGCATTCTTTTATGAAAGGCGCGAGCAAAGATCAGGAAGTTAAAAATACCTTTAGTTTTTGCAGTAGAAGATTTACGTAAGTTTTTCAGTCAGGCTTTAGACAATACATTTTTATTTTTTTCTGTTCATGTTACTTTCATGTTTTTTAGGTAGAGTTGTGAACAATTTGATTAATATGACAATTCAAAATAAAATCTGACATAATCTAATCTTATTTATTAAAGTGGTGTCATAGGGTCCCGTAGCTTCGATCCAATTCTTACCCGAGTTGCAGCTCCGCAACGATACCCTATGTGTATGGACACCATATATGTACCCCAATTTACCGAATCCGCAAACACTAATTTTTGCAGCCATACATGTAGTCACTCTTACGTCGACACAAGTACTTGTGGTTTTACATCTGGCATTCGTACTCGAACGCCAGTAAAGTTATTTTAATTTCTAATATTAAATTGTCACAAAATAATCAGGAAGTAATCCTAAAGTTCGGAGGCTAGTTACTCTTTCTCATGGGAACAACTTCGAACATTCATATTTCCATAATTCATTTATACCCGAATGAAATACCTACATTCGCAGAAATATTTCCGACATCACAAAAATCTAAACTATGTCTTATTAATACACCCATGTACATCCCTTCTAGCTTTCTAAAAAGTACTTTATCTTCTAATCGAATTCCGTTATTATTTATCCTAAAAAGACATAGTTTAAATTTCAAATGTACAGCCTTTGCAAATTTCAAACGATTCCAAAGAGCTTTAGCCAATTACGTAATTGTTTTTCCTATGGGCGGAGCTAGGAATTAAAGACATAAATATAAGCGTTTCCCGCAAAAATAGGCAGTATTATTACATAACAAATTCAAATAATTCATTTTAAAACCTATTATTAATTAAGAAACATTTATTTCGCCAACGCCATCTATTAGCCGATGTCAAAATATTTAAATTTGACAACATCTAAACTGTTTTTCTTAAATATTAGAATTGTTAATTCGTCTATTTATATCTAGAGGGCGTTAATTAGTATCTTTAATCTAAAATAAAAAATTATACCTTCAGAATTATAAACACTTCATGTTGTCTAAGAGCCCATTTTAGTTCTTGTAGGGTTTAAAAGTTTTAAATTTGTTTTGTCTTAATGTCTGTCCATTCGTGAAATATTTTAATAATTTTAATTAATAGTTTTAGACCTACTTGTGTTTTGACATCAACTTTTTGTTGCAACTACTGTTTTTATGCATTTCTTAAAAAAAAATACTCGCATACTTGTTTTTTACACCGACCCTGTGATAATCTCTAAGCTTAGTCTTAAATAGATGAGTAATACGGGTGAGTTCTTGATATTTGACAACTTTCATAATTTTTTAAACCCATTTTATTAGTTATGAGCTCATTCGTTTTTACCTATCTATTTTAGACCATACCTGATGATGAGGATCTGATCTCCTCTAAACCGGTCGTATTAAATTACTCTTGTGAGATCTTAAGGACCGCCCTTGTTTTATTTACCTCTTTTTTGATAAATTTAAATGTTCATAATTTTCATAACTTTCAAATTAATGACACTATCCGACGGTTTGCCAAATTCCCGCCGTCTGGGCCCGAACCTACCCTGAGAGTACCCAGGGTACTATCTCCTCCTAACGAGCGTCGGCCTACACACGGCAAATGTAGGTCAGGGGGAAGTTTCCCTGGTGAAGTGCTTCACAGTGTTGGTGATTTCGAGGAATTCGCTACACTCTCCGAACTGTCCACCAGTACGGCCACATCTCTCTCACGACCCCTTCTTAGCGAAAGAGCGGGGTCAAGGCAAAACGACCTTCACCCGAGCGAGACCCGACCACATAGCGCCCAACGTGGGGCGTAATGTCGTCGGGCCTACACACGGCAAATGTAGGTCAAGGGGAAGTTTCGCTGGTGAAGTGCTTCACAGTGTTGATGATTTCGAGGAGTTCGCTATGCTCTCCGAATTGTCCACCAGTACGGCCATATCTCCCGCACGACCCCTTCTTAGCGAAAGAGCGGGGTCAGGGCAAAACGACATTTATCCGAGCGAGACAAGACGACAGTGGTTACCTAGCAACCTTTATACGCACGGCATGCGATAAAGACCCGATTATGCACGCTTTTGGGATTGTTTGGGATGGTTTATGATACATGAATATTAAAAAAATAATTATCAGTCTGTATGACTCTTTTAAAATTTAACTGTCATGTATGCTTCACAAGCAAAATACAAAACACATTCCCAAGTTTTAAGTTAGTGTCATTATTTCGAGAAGAAACATCGATCATCGTCAGTTCCAAGCAATAGAAGGATTTCAATCAAGAAATACGAGATATTGGTAAGAATTATTATTTATTTTGTGGTTTGTATGGGAAATAAAATTTATTATTGTACGTGTAGTTAATGTGTTCCACCCTCTTAAAACCTTATTTGATTTATTTTATAATATATAAACCTAATAAAGATTCAACAGTATGCATTTTAATTTTTTACTGTCCATATTTTCAGAAAAAGAAATGGATAGTAATAGATTAGAGTACGCTAAACTAAATTGTCTGCACTTACATTTTTTACTAGTACATTACATATCGAGCGGGAAAGTATTCTATTACAGTCGAGCGTCAAGGTAGATTAGCGAGGTGTGAAGTACCAAAGTAAGCTGCAGGCTCGAGGCTAGAATAAGTTCGACCGAGGTATGTATTCGATTTTGCTCACAATCTACTAATAGTAATTTCATATAAGTTAAAATTAAAAAATAAATTAACTGTTACTTCACTTTCCCAGCTAGCCGGGAAAATAAAGTAAACAATAAGTAGTTTCCTGACTGTTTAAAAGGATTCAAATCCACAGATTACTAACCAATTGTGAGTAAAAAATAATAAACGTCAAGTAGACATATCCAAATAGTAGTCTAGCTACACTATGAATTTTAAAACAAAATTACTAGTCAGCTTACTCTGTCATTTTAAGAAAAAGAAATCCCGTACTGTCTTTAGTCAGCTTTTTATGAATTTATGAATACAACATACTTGTATTGCCTTTTCAATCGTTGCTATCCCTTCCATATGATTCATCAACCAGTTTATAGCATCAGCGGTGACGAAAGTAAAATTTGGCATGTTCTGTTGCATATTAATAAATTGCAATCCGTTCACGGGATGTTTCATGCTTTCTATAATTTCTACAGTGGTCGCATTGAACTTCAACATCGTTATTGGTAAGTTGTTGCTAAAAAAAAGGCGAGGTTCGAATAGACCAAATTTCAATGTACGAAACACTTACCTTTCATCAGTTGGTAGTTCAAAACCTTCTCTGATATCAGGGGGATCCTGAGACCCTTGAGGATTTCTACTTCTATCCACTTTCGAACCAGATCTACAATTACAAGATTAATAGCCTAATTCACAGAACATCCTTAAATTTACCTATATGTAAAATCTTAAAGATAAAAATGTCATAATGAATGTTCAATCATTGCGTTCGGTCTACCAAGCTCCTTTAATTCTTTTAACACTTTTAATTCCAAACGACCCTTTTAGCGTTCGGTTTAATCCGATTAGTGACAGCTGAACACGCTTAAATGTCATTTAGAAGCACCCTAAAAAACTCCGCTCTTGTCCCGTTCCAGCCCCTGGCCAAACCGAACGCAACTAATAGAATTGGGCGATATTTTGCGAACTGTTATTTAATTATTTTAATCTTAGTAAAATTACATAATTAAATGTTTTTATATCGATTTCATAAAAGTTTTCCTGAAAAATATTAACGAATATTTAAGGTATTAAAGATTTGAGGAAACATAACCTTATTTATTTAAATTTTACTAGTTGCAGTGTGATGTAAAAATCACGCCATCGTCCAACTCTAATTTTTCTCTGAATTGACATTTCTATCTTAACGAATTTTCACGTAACTATTTAAAAATGTTTTGTGAATACGGATGTACTTTGCGTAAATTTAATGTTTTACAAAGTCGAAGAATTATATACTTCTCTTAATGCGTCCGTCCTGAAAATATTCAGTAGATATTAGTAAACGACGTACAGGGTGTTCCAATCTCGGATTCGGATGAAAAGACATATAAGCGGCTCTTTGACAGCATAGCATAAATTATTTATACCCTCCCCCAGAGATCAATAATATAAAATTAATTTTGTTAGAAAAAAACCAAAGAAATACAGAATAAAAAAAAAATTCGATTGAAGTTGAAAATGCATAACCTGCTGTGTTAAGAAAAAAGTTACATGTGCATGTTTCGAGAAAACCACCATCAAAGTTTTGGATCTTTTCATTTAGAAATACATATTTGAATTATTATTTTTACTGATGTACTTTATATTATCGATATTTTTAGTGTTATAATAGCTATTTATGAAACCAGTTACGAAATGATTTATTTTATGTAACGAGTGAATATTGGCGGGACGAGCAGAGCGAGGTTCCACAACATGAACGAGTTACTTCATAATGTGTTACATACAAAATTTTTTCTAATTTTGACTAGATTATTTATAAAATTGTGTTTTGGTAAACAATATTACTACTTTCTTGTAATGTTAGTTGCATATGATTACCTTCATTCTTTTATTAACAAATAAAAAATCATTTAATGATAATGTATATTATTGATTTTAAAAACAAAAAAGGTTTATTTTTATTTGTTTTCTTTTTGCAACTGGTGACAAAAAATTTTTCGAAACCAGTTTCATAATGTTCAACATTATGCAACTGGTTGCGTAAAGTAGATCATTTTGACACTTGCTGCGATTACAAAAAATGTCACTTTATAAGTCAAAATTCGAAAAAAATATTTTTTAGTAATAGCCGATTTACCTAAGAAAAAGCCGATTGTGAAGTCGTTTGGCCATACGAGTGTATTTATAGCAGCACTCTAAAATGTAGTGGAGATGGTAACTGTAATTTTTTAAACTGTTCTTTATCTTATTATTAAGAATTTAAGTTTTTATATATAATTAATGCAGTAGTGTTTGAAAACACCAAGAACTACTTTCGGACAAAAATGCACATGTTTTTCTTTCTGAGCATGGCAGTAATGTGTTCGTATATAATTTTGAAGAACTTCCAGTTCTACTTTTCAAAAATTGCAATCTCATTAAGAAAGATGGAAAAATATAAGAAAAATATCACAGATTCCACAAAAGTGACTTCTGATAATTTTTTAAACCCGTCTTTTTGGATATATATTGAATGTTAATAGTCATGAAATTACTGAGATAAGCGGTTTTAAAGTATGAACCAGCTTGTTATACGTGACAAATAAGTCATTTAAAAAATTAGTTTAATACGAGTAAAATTAAAGTAGAAATTAACTCATCTATCATTCAAAACGTACAATCGTGATCAATTTACCATTTTTTAGTGACTTTATTAACCGTTTTCATTTATTCTTAAATGACAATGAATAAAATCAAAGTTTCTGAAATATCTCACATCACTATTGCACGTGCCTGGCACTCATCATAACGCATACGTTCGTATGCGTTTCAATGATGAACTAAGTTTTTATACCTTTAACCCAGTACAGCCTTGAACCAGCAACCTTAAAGCGCTCCCTTCAATTTTGAAATAAGAAAAATTAAAAGTTTACACATAAGAAACTCATTTAATAAATTGAGTTATTTTTCTCGATCTTCCATAAAAAAAAAAAGATTGGATACACCCTGTATTTCTACCTTTAACGAATTTAACAATAATTTGTACCGCCACCCTGTGTCGCCAAAAGCAAAAAACTTTTTTGTGAGCTCAACGTACACAACTTATACATTACAACAACATTAAATAGAAAATTATTAAAACACGAGAATATCAAATAGCAATGAGACAAAATTATATATGCATCTAAAATATGAAACAAACAGTCCATCCGATCGAGTTGTCTAGCATATAAATAGAACTCGAACTTCAACTATATTTATATTCCTAATATGTCTTCAAAGAAAACAAAGGTCAATATAAAATGCATTTAACTTATTGCTCTCTCCCTCTCCCTCACTCTCGATCTCTCTTTCTCTCGCTCTCTCATATCTATATGTCATCTCATCTCTATATTATCATCATCTCTATATTATCATCATCTCTATATTATCATCATCATCATCTCTATATTATCATCTCTAAATCACTTCTATATCTTTATATCATCTCTATATCACCTCTATACCGTCTCTATATCATCTCTATATAATCGCTATAACCTCTCTATATCATATTATCATCTCTATATCATTTCTATAATTTCTGTATCTCTATATCATCTTTATTATCATCTTATCTCTATATATCTGTATTATCTCTAAATCATCTGCATATATCTATATCATCTCTATATCATCTTAATATCCATAATATATCATCTCTCCTTAGGATAAACAGGTGAATGTTTATCGGCAGTCATGTTTTTGTGTTTTCAACGCCAGGGACCTGATCAAACGTTTTGTTTATAATTTATTTCAAAGGAAACACTTGCTAACCTAAAACATCTTTTAATCAAATGAAAAACGAAACTTTAATGTCCAATAGCCTAATTCACAATAAAATTATCCACCGTAAAGATAGAATGTCCAATAAAGTTGAGCGACTATTTTTTTTTTAAATGCTTTGCAGAAAATATGAACGAATATTTAATTTGTTAATGATTCGCGGGAAGATAACCTCATCTATTTCAATTTTACTAATCAAAGTAACGATTCAAAGTGCGATTGTAAACACTCGCCATCGCCCAACTCTAGTTTTCTCGGATTTACATGCAGGTAACTATTTAAAAATGCTTTGTGAATTCGGATGTTAAGAGTAGTAACTTTTGTCGCTTCTTTTCAGGTCCCAATAACTTGATCTTTTGACATATTAGGAATAATAGTATTAGTAGATTTATTTAGACTCGTAATAAAAATATTACACTTTAGCATCACTTTTTTATACAGGGTGTTTCCAAAGTAATCTAAGATATTGTGGGCGATTCGTCGTTCAATTTTAAGACGAAAAGCTCCTATAAACATGTGTGATTGGTTTTGTCGTTTATGAGATATACACAACAATATTTCAAATTACTTTGGAAACACGCTGTATAAATTCTAACACAGCATTTAAAAATTTTAGGAATTAAAAAAAATGTTAAGATTCATGTTAGTAAACAATGTCTCCAGAATTGTATCTTATCGCGTTTTTCTTAAATTTTTCTAAAAAGAAAATAATAAGCCAATACATACAAGTGAACGGAAAATTATTTAGACTTTGTTTTATACTACCTCTTCAGAGAAGCTTAACAACCAATATATTTCGTTTGAATTAAAAATAGTAGCTTCTACTTTAGTGGCATTTAACGCAAACACACAGTTTGAAAATCGTCTTCTGATGATGCTGACATAGTCATCGAAACGTATGTTGAGTATTAAATGTGATTGTAAGAAATTTCGGGAAATATTTTATTGAATGCATCTTATACAATTCCTCTTACATAATCACCAAAAGATATAGCTGAAAGACGTAAAAACATAATTGTCTTATCATAAAGTACAACTGCAAACTTCAGAATCTCTGAACTCAGCTTTGCACCAGAAAAAAGCAAAGTAATGTAGGTAGTTACTTTAAAATTATTTTATTAATTTGTTAAAAAGAAATGTCTAACATCAATATTTAAAAATTAATGTTAACAATTTAAATCATCAAATCAATTTTACTATTAAAATGGACACTACATCAATTAAAATAGAAATTAGACATCTGACATATTTGACAGCTAATGCGGAAAGTAAATTCATATTCACACAAGGGTGGAAAGTAGATTTATCCACACGCTTGTGATATACGGCACTTCCCATGGTCGTAGGAAAAATTATTGTTTATTTATACAAAATGCCTTGTTCCTAATTGTACCATGGTCGTTATAATAGGTAAAAATTTGCGTTGGTACGTTTATAACTGTATAAATTAACAATAATGACAGCTAATCTAGTATAGAATATATTCGGATTGTTTGGATTTACCGGCAGGGTTGTTGGTTGTTGTCATTATTTTCGTAATAAATTTATTACTTTTTTGGTTTAAATGTTACGTTATTACGTTTTTTAAAATCTATTACGATTCACTCAATAAAAATACCTTAAAAACTTCCTTTACCCAAGTCAATTTCTGCATTTTAAGTAAGCACAATTTAAAAATATTACTATTTTTAAACCACGGATGCTTAAACAGTTCGGATTACATTTAGAATACACCTACCGACGGGTTTTTTATGACTTTAAATTTAAATGCGCGCATGCGCCGAGTTTTAAAGGAATCCTATCTTAAAATAGCATTTATTACAGAGATAAGGGACATAAAGATAAGAAACGCAACGACCGCAGCAACGATGGCGT